AGGAACAGTGTGGCCAGCAGGACCAGGGAGATGATAGTGCCCCTGTACTCGGCACTGGTGAGGCCGCACCTCGAGTACTGTGTTCAGTTTTGGGCCCCTCACTGCAAGAAGGCCATTGAGGTGCTGGTGCATGTCCAAAGAAGGGCAACGAAGCTGGTGAAGGGTCTAGAGCACAAGTCTTACGAGGATCAGCTGAGGGAGCTGGGGTTGTTTAGTTTGGAGAACAGGAGGCTGAGGGGAGACCTTATTGCTCTCTACCACTACCTGAAAGGAGGTTGTAGCGAGGTGGGGGTCGGTCTCTTCTCCCTAGTAACAAGTGATGGGACAAAAGGAAACGGCCTCAAGCTGCGCCAGGGGAAATTTAGGTTGGATATTAGGAAAAACTTCTTCACCGAAAGGGTATTCAGGCATTGGAACAGGCTGCCCAGGGAAGTGGTTGAGTCCCCATCCCTGGCGGTCTTTCAAAGAAGGGTAGATGTGGTGCTTGAGGCCATGGTTTAGTGGTGGACTTGGCAGTGCTAGGTTAACTGTTGGACTCGATGATCTTAAGGGTCTTTTCCAATCTTAATGATTCTGTGATTCTATGATTCTGTGCTATGCACGTGCACTTTATCGGCAATTGTATCCAAAATTAATACGCATTTAAGCAAAACTGAGTGAAGCAAAGTTGTAGTACAAGCTTAAGGCTGGTTTTCTGTTTGCTCTTTACAGTGTGTAATGCAACAGGACTTCAGCTCTTACTGAAGCTAGTGTGGGCTACCATCTTTTAAAAATTTAACTGTATGCATTGATGGAGCCCTTTGAGACAACGATGTACAAAATCCATACAATGTTTCTACTCCGTACAAAATAAACACAAATGCAGAGGCAGAGAATTTTAATTATGAGATATCATTATCCTTCATCTGTTTATTTATGATGACTATAAAATACTATATTTCATGTACGGAAAAGAATCTGATAGTATACTTGAAGGTTACTACGCTGAAAAACACAGGGGAGTATTATTCTTGCAGCATTTGACAAAGTGTACTGGAAAAGGGAAACTCAAGTGAAATTAATCACCTTTTCTGTCTTTTGAATTTAATAAAATTTGCAAGCTTCTAGATTAAGCTATTAATTTCAATTTGCCCACTTACTCATGCACAAAAAGGAAATTTTTTAGATGGTTAAACAACCTTGTCAATTAGATGTTTAATGAATTAAGATGAACTGGCAGACATTCTTAACTGGCATCTGTTGATAAAGAAGTAGCTACATTTCTTGAAGTTGCAAGGATCACTAATGAGTACTCTGTTATATCTAATTGAATTTGTTTGTTTAAGGCCAAACTGTGGCCCTGATGTCCTTGGGAAGTTACAGTGAAAATCCCTGAGCAAAACTTTAAATTCTGTTGTGTGATGGGACATAGTAAAACTTTAGTAGGTATATGAAACTATCTAAATTTATATGACATTGTTTTGTTTTTTTCTGAAGCCCTGTTTAAGCATATCAGTTAGTGAGCATGTTTGCTGGGCAAAAGAATGTATGTCTTCTAGTGTCAATTGTATAAATACATTGTGTTTTAGTGCTTTAAAAGATGTGCTTATTGCTTTTACAATTTCTCTTTGCCAATCCTGACATTATCTTGTGTGCTTCCTACAGATGTAAATGAATGTGAAGCTGAACCCTGCAAGAATGGTGGAATCTGTACAGATCTCGTTGCCAACTATTCCTGTGAATGTCCAGGGGAATTTATGGGAAGAAACTGCCAACAGAGTAAGTATTGCATGTTTTTACATCTATTTTTTTTAATAAAATAAATAAATATTTTCTTTTGCAGTAACAACTATAGAATACTATGGAGATATTTCTCTAGTCTACAAATAAATAATGCTAAAAATAGCCATCTTATTCTTTTCAAAATGGAGGAAATGTAAGAGACCACATCTGTCATGCAGTCAAGTAAAGCATCTGATATGATGGAACATCCATGGTGTGGTAAACAGGGGGGACATGGCAATGCAGCACTGGAGTGCGGTGGTAAAAAGCTTCTGTTCTGTACTTCCTCTGGGTAGGGATCCGCATATGGAGGTACCACCAATCTGCTGTTTGCAGGACAGTATCATGGGAAGAGTGTTAAATCAGATGTGCTTTGAAGACTTAAGTAATATATTACTTAAATTGGTAGTTAGAAAATGCTACACGATGTAGACATTCGAATACTTCCATTATACCGATCTTTATACTCATGTTATTCAGCTAACCATATGAAGAGTTATCAATAAATAACAGATAATTAAGGATAGGAATAATGTTTGTACTGACTGTAACCATTGAACTACCTCTGTTCAGGAAAGTCAATGCATTCTTCTAGTACTGTGGCACAGTTCACAAACTTTTAGCATTCATATACTTCTGAGCTAGCTTTAGCACAGCTAACATTAAAATGGTAACTTTTCTTTTTATACCACCAATATAATTCTGCACTCTACCATTTCCTATAAGTGGACTTGTAAATATCCTTTTCTTTCATTAGAAGTTTAGTTATGTCATCATACCTAATTATGTAATTACAAGTAGTAATTACACATTCTAATTACACCATTAGTTTTACACATATTTACAGCAATCATATAATTAAATACTGTTATGCTAATTATGTAAATTACTGATTGCTGTCTCAGAATTACCTCACAAAGCTCAAAGATTGCTAATCCACATCACAGAATATGTGAAATATCCTAGATCAAGAATAAAAAAGACAAAAATTTATCATGCAGTCTGCTCTCCTGTCATTGCAAGTTTGTTCTCCAGGATGCATTTTTCTAATGGTATATCTAGTTTGATATATCCCAAATACCAATGCTTTGTAATAATGACTTTTCATATTACTAATCATTGAAGTAGTTTATGTCAGACTGTTTTTCCTAATGCTCCAATTAAGTTTTCTCTCTTTTTTTAATTCCACCATTTAATTCCATCATAATTAATTTATATTAGCTAATCTAAATAATTCTCTTCCATTTTATCTCATGTGTAGCACTTTCCAGGTGTGAGACAACTGTTGTATTACACCCAGGTCCTGCAAGCCTTGTGGGACACCCATCCAAAATCCTTCTGACTAGTCCCAAGAGCCTCTGCTAATAACCAGTGCGGTTGAAGTGAGAGGGAAAGGCTTGTCTGGAACTGAGTACTAAAATATCACTAAAATGCTAATGAGCTTGGAACCATATTGGGACCACCTTGACCATCTTCTGATTCTTCTTGTGGCATGGATGAGGTTTGGAGTTGCTTTCTAAGGGTTCAGCCATGGAGTAAAGTTCTCAGAAGACATGGAGGTGATCTCCTGGCCAGTTGATGTGCTTCACACCCCAACAATGCTTCTGCTCCTTTGGGACCTTCTTCTGTTTTATTTGCATACTCTTCTTATTTTGAAGCACTGGCCTGACGTCTCGTTTTTTTTTTTTTTCTGGAGAGACTTAAATTCAGTTGTCTGTCTTTCTTACTAGCTACTGTTATCTTTAGCCATTCAGGCACAGATGATACTTAAACCAGCTGCCTCTCATTGCTGGAAAGCACAGGATGAGGCAAAGTCAAAGCAATATGGAGTGCAAGAGCACTGATGGCTTCAAAACATATTCAGTTGTTCTGGAATAAGCTTATCAACTTGTTAAGAGATACTTCACTGAGCATCTGGTATTTACAAAATTTGCCTGCAGATGTTTAATAAACACAGAATGGAAAGAGCACCTTTTCCCATCCTCAAAAGCAAAAGCTAAACTATATTAATTCCATATTACTTTCCAGATTTCTTAAGGGCTCAGCATTTCCTTGATGCAGCTGCATCTCCTTCTGTTCTTGCACTCTGAACTTATTTCTTGCTTCTGTGCTGAATTCAAGCTATCAGTTATGATTACCTCCATTACAGCTTTCCTTAGTCTTGGTGTCTCTGTAAATAAGTACTGCTTCCAAGACAGATTCCCATGGGGCTGAAGTTTTTACTTTCTGGATCACAAAATTTTCTTGCAGGCAACAGGGAGCAACTTTCATCAGTGTCAGACTGTTTGCATTATTCAGTACGAATCTATATTGTTAAAATCTCCCATGAGCAACATGGATTCTGAATTGCAGTAATTTGTGAGGAGTTCCACAGGTAATTTTTGATCGCTTTTTTTTTTATCTAGCAGATGGTACTGTACAGTAGACACATTACAATTTCACCATTGTGCATTTTGGAGCTGTATTTTGCTGATTGCCAAGAGTTGCTGCACATGGCAGATTTTCTCTTGTTTTTTCTTTAAAGAAGAAGGTCAAATTAGTCACTGTAAATATTTTTTACATATGCTATGGCCCCTTCACCTCCTTTTCTGTGTATTCAACATGCCTATATGTAGGAGGACTGCATTCAGAGCAAGTGCACCAATTTAGTTTGTCTAGCATATCAGAAATCCTGCTAAACAGTGTACCTTCACATTAATTTAATTTGTTTCCTGTGCTTTATGTTTTACTACACTGATGTGTTTATACTGCACTTGGTCATCTTCTGCCTTCCTGTCTGTGGAAATCAAAGTGGCATTTTTTTATTTAAATGAAAATGATGCTTTTTTCAGTTTCACTTTTACTTAAAAAATATCTAAAGATCTGACAGATCTAGGCATAAAGAGACTTTCAAGACTTCTGCCTACATGCAGCCTTATACTCCCAGACTAGATGGTGTCATCCAAAGTGTTCTGATGTGCTGTGATTTTAGAATTTTCTTCCTTTCAAAATTGTTCCCAGGAATACAGGACACCTGCAACTTGCATGATTTGTAGCACAGGAGAAATAAATAGCTTCACAGTATTTTTTGAAAAGACTATATTGCTTCTTGTAGTGTCTTCTGTATTTCACTTGTAAGTGTGTTTCCAAGGCAGTGTCCTCACTTGTTGGGACTTTTTGGGTTCAAGTGCTTGTCCTTTGAACTTCTCTGCTTGATGTTCAAAGTCTTCAATGAGCCTTGGATATCTCTGTCTTGCCCAGCTCCAGCTCTTATCCGCCCTGGCTCAGCAGCATTCAGGGTTCAGAAAGCCTCTGTGCTTAGGTTCAGAAAAACCCTACGCAAAAAAAACATCACAAGATAAGGGCATAAAAAGAGCACAGGCAAAATTAAACAATTTATGAAACAGTTAAAAGCTATGTTTTCAGGGGGAAGCTTTACATCTGGCTAAAATTTGTCTTCCAAGAAGCCTGTGTTTTCAAAATATGGATAGGAATCAGAACTTAACCATTTTCTTAAATTAATAAACCTGGTAACAGGCTTTCTGGTGAATTCAGCTCATGAAAATGCCGTGTTAAAATTAAGCTGTTAAGCACTGGGCTGTTGCTGAATGGTAAACATGATTCCATTACAACCATACCTCATTTCCAGATTATCTGCTGGGGAACCTAGGTTTTAAGGCATGAGATTTTTTATGTACCTCCAGCTAGCAATATGTTGTGGCTTAAAGCTTGCAGTGAGACACTGTGAAACACGTTACCTGACAGGAATCAACATGGATTTTAGTTCCCTAAATTACTATTTACTATTAAAATCTCTTTGATTGAGATTTAGGAGAA